ATCATCTGTAGTAACCTCTTGAAATAGTGCGAATAAAGAGTACATTCCAGGGATATTCATTTTTCAGTCAAATTATGTATTGTTTGTTTATTTTGTTTGTTTTAGCAACAATACTGGCAGTCTAGTGCAGGACAGCCAGTACCAGGTAGTTATAACAATGCTTCACAAGCTCCATATGGCAGTCCAGGAGTCCAAGCCAGTGTTCCTGGTAGTGTTGTGTCTACAGCATCAGTTGCAAGCCCCACAGGAGCTGTTGTCAGCACTCCTGAAGACATGGTAAGTTTACTGTACAGTAATTTTAACAGGATGGATTGAGATTGAATAATACCCGAAGATTGCCAGGTTTGATGATGAAATTTGAAATTTTTTAAGAAATCAGTGAGAGCAGGACAAAGTTTAATTCCATGCATCTCTATTTTGAAATAATTTCTGGGATTTTTTTGTTTTCCTTAAAAAACTAACCAACAGAGTGCAGTACGTGTTGTGATTTCATGTTTTGTATGTTCTCTGATGAAATGTGAAATTTTATATGTACCCAGTGAGAGCAGGACAAAGTTTACCTCCTTCTCTATTTTTGAATACTAGTTTCCAGCTACATTTTTGTTTTCCTTAAAAAATTAATCAATAGAGTGCAGTACATGGTGTGATGTCGTTTTGTATGTTCTCTTTTTTTTTTTTTTTTGCAGAGAAGTGTCACACTTAGCAGGGGTACTGTGTCCTCTACACCACCAACTTTTGCTGCACATGGCAGCTCATCGTGGCCTCAGAGATCTGTTGAACAGCAGCTAGTAAGGACACCTACTGTATTATTAATGCTGCAGTGTTTTCTGAATTTTAATTTACAATTTTTTTTTAATCAATGTCCACTGTTTACTATTGGTATTTACTAAAACAGTAGATATCCGAATAATAGTCTAAATATTCTTTACCATTCACCTCAAAGCAACTCGTTGATGAATTGCACCTGAAAATATTCTACTTATTTGCAGGAATAAATGAGTAAAAATTGTCTATTTGTGATATATTATCTCACTGTTTTAGTGTATACCAAAACAACTGTTTATCTCAGTGTGAGTGGCTAGCATTAGACATTTGCCTCGCCCCTTTGCAGCTCTTTAAATGTCCACCACCAACCACCTCCTCTTTGGTGAATAGTTGGTAATTATTACTATTTGGATTTGATTTTCAAATCCTTTGTATCTAAAAATCATGATGCATGCTCTCCTTACTGTTCTCTATACATTCCCATTGACACTGACTACAGTACTGGCCGCAACACAATCAGGAGCTTGTTGAGTCGTTGGTTATGTCAGGGGCCCGGGGGGTCAGGGGGGGTACTTTAGGATTTTCTGGGTGGGGATGTGCTGCTGGGACCCTGGAACCCTTAACGTATACTAGAGCTATTTCAGCTGAATTTTGCTACCCTATACTAGAGTAAACTCTCCAAACTCCCCCTATCCTAGAGTAGCTGTTTTCCAGCTAAAAAAAAAAAGAAGCACTTACCTTCTTTCTCTAAGTTACAAGAAAGCTAGTCCACTTTCCTTCTTGTATAGTCTCGAGGATTAGTCCTAAATGAGTCCTAATTTTGGACGGGTTTTTGATATTCAACCCGGTATTGAACTTGGTCGCGTTGCAAGTTACATGCTGAGCTCCGGGGCTGA